ATACTTTCCGTTTTATCTGATCTGTTTAGGAAGCAGAAAAGCCTTATTTTCCAAGAGACTCATTTTGTCATTGTTGTTTTTATCGGTTAGAAGGTCTGTACTTGACCTATGTGAACAAAGCAAAGCATCATTCCAATATGGATTGCACACTACTCCCCAATCGTTTATGTCTGAGGTGACACATTACTACAAATTTACACCGCGAATATCGTCCTACGTCTGAAATCTTTCCACGCGGCCTATCATTTTCTCGTCACACGTGGCGATCTCCGCCGTGGTTGTCTCCGTGTCCGCGTCCAGACCTGTCCATTGCATCTCTGGTCAATTACAATAGCAGGGCTTGTTCGTAATGTTGTTAACGTTGAAGGATGCGTGTCCAGATTTAGCCGACCATGTTGCGACATATGTCTTTACCCAAATAAAGATTGCCCGCACCATACAAAGGGGTTCGGTTTATAGCCAATATCATCATGGACTAAGTATAAGCGTATATGCGGGTTTTTGCATCAGACTGACGCAATGGCATACACTTTGACGAAAAACAATTGATATGTATAATGAATTTAAATAGAAAGATATGGGATAATAAAAAGCTCTATTGGAAGCTCCTTTGGACTTCGTGTTTCAAAAGATATACTACATGAACATAGATATATATTATTTTATAACAGTTTCCCCGATGAACCTCTATAGAGGTGAAAGCGCTAGGGATGTTCTAAGAAACTCATTTTTTTTATTTTTTTATTTTTTTTATTTTTATATAAACATACATATATTTATTTGAAGAACAGTGGTGATTTCTCTTCCAATCTCCTCTTTATTTCAGATTTTATTCAACATTCAACCAACGAACAGTTAATTTGGCGTAAACAACCGATACAACCTGTTTAGAAACCTGAGACAAGTTGCCTTCAGGGAAAGGAGTACATCTACGCCTGCCGGTCTTAAAACGTTGTTGAACAATAACTAGAAATACGAAGATCATCTTAACCACATCCTTCACGGCCAACGGGGACGGAATCGTATTTAAACACTACAGTACGACAATATAAGTAATTTCATTACTTAAAAAAATGTCGTGGCGAAATCAAACTCCAAATTAATACAAATAGATAAAAAAAAAAAAAAACCGTGAAAATAGGATCCGAGAAGGCAGCAAACAAATAGAAAGACGTCTTTTCTGAACACTATTACAACCAAATGTAACACCAGCTGTTCCAGGAAATGTAGCATTTTCTGCACTAAATTTTCCCATAACTTTTTTTTAACAAGCGTGGCGATTTCACGATCGCCAGCTTTCTTCAGTGGAGGTATGCATGTACCACTCGATATGTCCAAGTTGATACGCTACTCAAAAGACTGTTCTGTAAGGGTATTGACAGGAGCGCCCGGGTCACCTGATTACGAAAGCAGTGTTTTATACCGAAGAGGTTTCCGTCTACGTTCTAACTACGGATTTCAACATCAGCCACAAATAAGACCTATCCACTGTGTGTCATATCATTGGTAACAATCTATACTAATTCAATTCATGTCTTCGACAAAGCGCATTACTTTAAATGGCAATATGACCATATTATTGTATTTTATCAAACATGTCTGACACGCAGTATTTAGGCGGTGAAACATACACGGCATGCCCTATGCATGGAATGTTGACGATATGCATGAACCACTATCTATACTCAAAGCCGGTTATCGCATACGGAAATTGAAGCTTATTACACGAAGGGTAGCCGTGAGCTGTGATCCGATAAGCTTACATATTACATAACATATAATGGCGTTAATGCATGAATGTCATAACTGAATCTCCATATGTTAGAGGGAGGTCTGCCATAGCTCAGCGTCCGCCGTAACTATCTTAACAGTAAACTTTATATGCATGAACAGATTACACCGGTTAACATACATGAATACTTAGAAATAGACGTCCATCCGGACGTCAAACATTTGTAGTGGACAGACAGATAAACACGCAACAGCTGCAGTGGACACACAGATGGACACGCAACAGCTGCAGCAGGACATGGAAATGTTGTAGTGGCCATACAGCCGGACATGATGAAACAGTATGTCCACTATAACTGGATATTAAACAGTTGTAGTGGACATACAGCTGGACATGGAATAGTTGTAGTGGACAAACAGCTGGACATGGATCAGTAGTAGTGGACAAACAGCTGGACATGGATCAGTAGAAGTGGACAAACAGCTGGACATGGAACAGATATAGTGGACATACAACTTGACATGAAGCAATTGTAATGGACAAACAGCTGGACATGGATCAGTAGTAGTGGACATACAGCTGGCCATGGATCAGTAGTAGCGGACAAACAGCTGGACATGGATCAGTTATAGTGGACAAACAGCTGGACATGGAGCAGTTATAGTGGACAAGTTATAGTGGACATACAACTTGACACGAAGCAGTTGTAATGGACAAACAGCTGGACATGGATAAGTAGTAGTGGACATACAGCTGGACTTGGTTCAGTTCTAGTGGACATACAGCTGGACATGGAACAGTTATAGTGGACATACAACTTGACATGGAGCAGTTGTAGCGGACAAACAGCTGGACATGGATCAGTAGTAGTGGACAAACAGCTGGACATGGAGCAGTTGTAGTGGACAAACAGCTGGACATGGATCAGTTATAGTGGACATACAACTGGACATGGAGCAGTTGTAGCGGACAAACACCTGGACATGGATCAGTAGTAGTGGACATACAGTTGGACATGGATCAGTTGTAGTGGACAAACAGCTGGACATTGAGAAGTTGTAGTGGACATACAGCTGGACATGGAGCAGTAGTAGTGGACATACAGCTGGCCATGGATCAGTAGTAGCGGACAAACAGCTGGACATGGAACAGTTATAGTGGACACACAGCTGGACATTGAGAAGTTGTAGTGGACATACAGCTGGACATGGATCAGTAGTAGGGGACATACAGCTGGACATGGATCAGAAGTAGTGGACATACAGCTGGACATGGAACAGTTATAGTGGACAAACAGCTGGACATGGATCAGTAGTAGGGGACATACAGCTGGACATGGATCAGTTATAGTGGACATACAGCTGGACATGGATCAGTTGTAGTGGACAAACAGCTGGACATGGATCAGTTATAGTGCACATACAGCTGGACATGGAGCAGTTGTAGTGGACATACAGCTGGAAATGGAGCAGTTGTAGTGGACAAACAGCTGGACATGGATCAGTAGTAGTGGACATACAGCTTGGCAGGGAGCAGTTGTAGTGGACAAATAGCTGGACATGGATCAGTTACAGTGGGCATACAGCTGGACATGGAACAGTTGTAGTGGACATACATCTGGACATGGATCAGTTATAGTGAACATACAGCTGGAAATGGATCAGTTATAGTGGACACACCGCTGGACATGGATCAGTTATAGCGGACATACAGCTGGACATGGTTCAGTAGTAGGGGAAATACAGCTGGACATGGATCAGAAATAGTTGACATACAGCTGTACATGGATCAGTTATAGTGTACATACAGCTGGGCATGGATCAGTTATAGTGGCCGTACAGCTGGACATGGATCACTTATAGTGGACATACAGCTAGACATGGAGCAGTTGTAGTGAACATACAGCTGGACATGGACCAGTTATAGTGGACATACAGCCGGACATGGATCAGTTGTAGTGGACATACATCTGGACATGGATCAGTAATAGTGGACATTCAGCTGGACATGGATCAGTATAGGGGACAAACAGCTGGACATGGAACAGATATAGTGGACATACAGCTGGATATGGAACAGTTATAGTGGACACACAGCTGGACATGGATCAGTAAATGGAGATATACAGATGGACATGGATCAGATGTAATGGACATACAGCTGGACATTGAACAGTTATAGTCGACATACAGCTGGACATGGTTCAGTAGTAGGGGACATACAGCTGGACATGCAACAGTTATAGTGGACATACATCTGGACATGGAACAGTTGTAGTGGACAAACAGCGGGACATGGATCAGTAGTAGTGTACATACAGCTGGACATGGAACAGGTATAGGGGACATACAGCTGGATATGGATCAGATGTAATGGACATACAGCTGGACATGGAACAGTTATAGTGGACATACAGCTGGACATGGATCAGTTGTAGTGGAAATACAGCTGGACATGGATCAGTTATAGTGGACATACAGCTGGGCATGGAATAGTTATAGTGGACAAACAGCTGGACATGGATCAGTTGTAGTGGACATACAGCTGGACATGGATCAGTAGTAGTGGACAAACAGCTGGTAGTAGTGGACAAACAGCTGGACATGGAACAGTTATAGTGGACATACAACTTGACATGAAGCAGTTGTAGTAGTAGTGGACAAACAGCTGGACATGGATTAGTTATAGTGGACATACAGCTGAATAACGAGCAGTTGTTGATTTGATCAGAGTGTGTCAGTTTGCGGTGCACAAATAATTCAATGGTGCCGTTTTTCTTTTCGTACGATGAGCGTTTATTTCCTCCTCTTGGGTAAATCTAACGGAATTTGTTTTGTCTACTAGTTTTAGGTGATCTATTAGGCATTGTACTGGTCTCTCTTCGACTATTTCTAGGATTTCATCTATTTATTGTTCCGAAGTATGGGGCACCCATACAATGTGTGCTGATCTAATGGTGGTCTGCTCTATGTGTTCCATGAACAGATTCGCGATTATGCGTGACACAGGACTGACTTCCCATAGCGGTACCGTACTTCTGTTGATGCACTTGACCACTAAATGTGAGTTGTTCAATAATCTTGTCCACAACGTTTAATATGTACATTATTCGTGTAGAAACTTTGATATTTCATATTTCCAAACTGACAAATCTTGTTGAAGAGGTCAGAATATAGTTTATGGGAATAATCAATGTCCCACAGTTAAAGCAGATATATAAGATATTGTATGATATGCAGATCGAGTGATGGACATATAAGCTACTTACCATTGGGTTGTTTATCAGGAACTTCCTCTTTTTCCCTTGTTCCCGCACCTGAAAATGTATATAACATTAAGTCAATTGAAAAACAGATTTGAATAACAACCGCAAACATAATGCCGAGCTATACGAACAAATAAACGACAAAAACACAAATACGACAAAAACACAAAAACGACAAAAACACAAACACTCCTAAATAAGTACATGTCAATCATGTCTTGACAAGGTAAAGTAAGGAAGAAAATGGCAGCGTAAGAAATACATTTGTGTGTTTATATTGATGTTTGTAATAGGCTTGGTTTGGTTTTATAGTTTTTAACGTCCTTTCAACAGTTCAGGCGATTGAAGGACGTGACTCCATATGTGTTGTGTATGCATGCATGTGGGTATGCTTGCTGGTAGCAGGGTATGTTGGTGAAATAACCTCCTTGCGATAGCGCGGATCTGATGCCGACTTTATAGTGCTACCTCACTGAAAAACTATGACGAAAGCACCCAGAACAGCATACTGTCACATGATACTGACAACGGATGAACCAGTTGTTGCTATTATCCTTAATGCTGAACGTTAACCTGGGAATAGCAAGTAACATTTTCAGGACTTTTGTATGCCCCGGCCTGGGGAAAGAACCCATTGCCTTCCTCACCTAGGTGAACGGTCAACATTAAAGCCAAAAGTGAGGAATCGCCAAGCACGGCGCTAGGAAACAAAAGGTTGTGAGACGTAGGAAGTAATACAAAGATCCCAAATATTGCAATGGACGCAGCAGATTTTTTAAAGCCGCTTTTGTGTCCCCAAGTAGTTGGCAAAATAAAAATGCCCAATTCTGCAGGAGTTACCACTTAAGTCGCCTCTTTCAAACATGCAGTGGGTAACAGCAGGTCCATTATTTTTTCTCAGTCCCTGACCTGCAGTGATTTGTGAAACGAAAATATCATTTAGGTACATTTAGTAATACAACACTAAAGAACAACGTTTTTCAAACTTTCCCTTGACTATACAAATATCGTAGATTTTTAACAATGATTAGTAATTAACTCTTTTTTAATTATTAACCTTTACTTTTATTTTTTTCTGAAGAGTTGGCAGTTTATAAGAACTTTCCAATACACTGTTGTTGAAGCTTCATTCTAGACGCTTCTAAATGATATTCAAGACATATCTATATTGATTAGATCAAAGTATACAGCGAAGATCAAGCCTGGAATTTGATTCCGATTGGAGTATGTTGATAATGATATTGCGACTAATTAAAATGCAAACATATGCCTACACTGATATCAGTGAAGTCCTGCTAGTTCCGTAATTTCAATGATTAAATTCTGACGAAACACGTGTCGTCTAACACGTACTGATCACGTTTCCATCATGACCTTGTTAACGCCAAGGTCATGGAAAGTCTCGTTGGCGTCCATTGTAAGCGTTAACAGGCTCTTTGACGAACAACAAGAATCCCTCTTAAAATAGCAGAGACATCTTTGTTGTCCCATTACAGCACACAAATTGAAGGTTTAAAAACTTCTAGCTTCGCTCCCGGCTATAAAAGTTATTTAACTACACGCGTTTGGTATGCTAAGAATCTGTTTAATGGAACCGCTACCACGTTATGGCTGTTCCATTTGATTAGTTGAACATAAAAGCCCCTCGTTTACCACTAAGACGTATTTTCAATTTATTGTAATGCACCTAAAGCCATAACGAGTTTACAAAGTTACCCCGATACTGACCTTCACTAAAGTTTATCATTATAAACAGTAACAATATCTACCGTATCCTAATATTATAGCTGAGGTTTAGTTTCCATTTTTTCTGTTGCAATATTACACAGCCGGTGACAAACGTCAGTGTCTGTATTCAGTCCCTACGAATGAAAGTAAAGTGTTTAAGGGGACAATCAACCATTGGTTAAAGATATGATATTGTAACAAGATCCAACAGTCTACACATGGTACCAAGGAACCCTCTCAGAAGTATTGTAATGTAAATAAACTGAACATCTAAACACTTTGGTTGTAAATATGGCGTTAAACAAAGCAATATCCACCACAGCAAAAGCAGATTTATGAAAAACTCGCACACAACCATACACACGCGCAACAAAAGCAAAATAAACACCAACGCAACAGGAACGACTGTTTGAGCCGTATTAATCAAGTTTGATAAGAACTATTTTAACCTTTTAGACAATGTGATAAAACACATTCTTTTACGTGACAAAGTTTACACAGTTTATCAGTCATATAGAAATAGACTGTCGATGATAAGATCGTTCCAGCTACTTCATCACCATCGGCTTTAGTAGTTTTACGACTGTTTCTATTCTTTATAGAATAAATCAGAGAACGAAAGCCATGGACCATTTGTACACGGGTGAAATCAGTAGAACAGCTTTAATTGTGTTTGTGTTATTGGCTAGGAGCAAGCCTCATATTGGCGGTAGATTTATCATCATAATAACAACGATCCTTACATCATTTCTAGTATCATCTTATTCATATAAAATGTATCTTTCTGCTACTATTCGCATTTCATATACATACATAACGTCAAGACATTTAAAGTGGGTCCATACTTTTCGAGAAAAAAACATGCAACTTTTTCTAACTAGTTTTATGTTGGCATTTTTTACATAGATTTACGGTATGGAAAGTAGGCAAAACAATCCTCGACCAACTGTTAGAGACACTTGACTTTTTATCTAGCAACTTTTTTGAACTTTTCCTTTAAAAACTTAATGAAAATATTGTATCAAAAATGTGATGTATACATCAATAATCTAAAAGAAATATTTTTTTTCAACTGAAATATTTGAACTCAATCCCTGAAATACCATGATTAACAAAATCAAATAAACTTTTATAAGATGAATATTCTTTTTGTGCATTTTCCCTTGCAATCCATTCACATCAAAATGCATTTTTTTTACGTCCAACAAATGTATTAAAATAGAAACAACTGTACTTCGAACTATTAAAGATTTTAAGAAAATTTTGAGTGTAGAAAGCCGAGTTTACATTTTTATAATCATAACCAATATGGGGTTCACTATGAAAATCTTACGATTATGCCTACTTCAAGTTAGAACTCGATCCCCACCCAAAACTTGCTTTTCATATTTGTATGGGTAAAAGGCAAAAAAATACACTCAAATCATCAAAAGTGCAGCGGTTTATTCGGATCTTTGGACCACTTCCGATCGATATTTCAAACGAAATGCTATTTCCGTACACAGTGGTAGCGCATTTCCCCTAAAGTCATGAGCATGATTTAACAGCATGTTATCTTGTTTCTTTATATCTAGTTAGATATTTAAAATACTAACAAAAAATGACAAATATCCTGAAGAACTAAGATGGTAATCACCGCAGACAATGCCATCACACTTCTTTTTGTTCTAAATGTTTGTCACCCGGTGGAACAGCATTCCAGACCAGAGAGTATTAGCACCATCCTTGAAATCCTTCAGGGACGCCCCTGTGGGGAGAGCGGGGACAGAGAGTAATAGGCTGTACTTGTAATAAGTTTTAAACTTTTTATCAAAACAGATAGTCTACCGAGAGACATGCGCACATCGGCTCGTTTATACCAGTAAGGCCATAAAATATATATGTTGACTTTTTATCGGAAGAAAAAGAAATATTTCTTTTCATTTACGCTATTGCATCTAGTCGTAGCCGTAAATCGTTATATAATGTGGAGACAATCGCGGGAAAAAACCCGGTATCACAAAATTAGGGCAGAGTATGTCGTTTTTGAAATGCAAGTTTCTGGATCTAAATTCAGTGTCAATTTGTCTCTTGGTCAAATGAGGTTGTGGGCCTAATTGTCTGTAGTACATGCTCCTGTCACTAATTTTGTTTAAAATATTTGATTATAATACACGCGATGACGATAAGCATAAGGTAAACAAGACACCAGTTACACTGTATTGTTTTATATATTCAAGCTCGTCTGCCTTATACATTATACGTTTATTTGTCCTTTTAATCACACAGAGCAGTAAACGTCAAATGTCTGGCCTGACCATCACCTGAACATACATGCTGTACACATTTTAGTTGCAGGTGTGAAATCTAGAAACTTGGGGATTGGGTTATATTTAAAAGTGTCTTAAAGGGCAAATCTGATATTCATGCTGAATCCTGAAATACATGTAAAAATAGTTGAATTTTAAAACCTTTAATTTACCAAATCCGTGATTATTTTTTTTACATCAAAAGAATATATAGAGGATATTTAATGGTGTCTTCAGTAATAACAAATATTTTTCACGAGTGTGGCTTATATTTTGATATTTAACAAAATATTAGCGACACGAGTGAAATATATTTGTTATTACTGAAGACACCATAGAATCCGATATTTCATTGGCAAAAATGTGAGAGACAACTTAAGTCTAATGGGCTTCTAAATTCAACGGACCAATCAGCGCCGAGGTCACAAAAGGTAGAGAAAATGGCAGGCTCTGTTCAGATTTCCGATCGTCAGCCTGACCAGCTTGAAAATTGGACTCGGGTGTCCGACATTATAATGTAAGGCAATGAACTATCATACAAGTAAGTTTGTTTCCAATCGTAGAAACACTGTGCCGACATTGAATAGCGGACATGGGAGTGTTTTGCGCTACCCACTAGGGATTTAGCGTGTCATCCCGTGGACAGCAGTGTTCGACCAACTGAAATTCGACCATTTTTCGATGTTTCATGAATACTACCGAAAATTATACTGCATTATATATGGCAAATCATACATCAAATTAAAGAAAAAATATTTCCTGTCGATCTAGACTGCTCCCGGCGTCATACATGTACTATGAACGATTATGACAAAATCACATATTTTCTGGAACTGTGTCATTTTTCTAGGGGGAAAGAGTTAGCTATAATAATAAATTATGCAAGTTTTAATTTAATTAAATTTATCAAATTAATGATATTCATTTTGAAAAATAATTTGATTCAGAATTGCACCGTGTCACATACATGAAGAACAATACACACAAATACTAATTACTATTGAGAGAAAAAATGAAAAACAAACTAAAAATATT